TCTCACTAGGAAAGTTTAGTAGCATTCTGCATGAGTTCAAGTATCAAAGATTGATACTTTAAGTAAGAGCAAGATTAGAAGTATACGCATACGCAAACATTGGAACAATGATTATGTTGTGTTTTTTTTTTTTGGAAGCAGGGAAAGAAGTTCCCTAATCTACTTTTCCCGATTGAAATAAAAAACATACATTTGGCCAAACATGGTAGTGATTCAGGAGTCTACGACACTCATGGAAGGTACAGTTAGGTTTTAATTTGTCAAATAAATAAAACATTCTTCCACAAATGCAGTAAAGATATCTTATGAACGAGAATGAACATAGATAAATATATAAACCATATATTTATATTTACTTATATATGTTTGAATCCAAAATAAAGATTCACTTACACTTACATGTTATGTTTAAGGTTTGTTCCTTCCAAGTTTGAGGAGATATTTCACAAGTATGCACACACGAATTCAGATGCCTTGACTTCAGATGAACTGGACAAATTTATCAAAGGAAACCGGGAACCCAAGGACTATGCAGGATGGTAATTAAGAACATTTGGATCATCGATCATGCATATGGTTTCTTGAATTAAATATTAATTCTATGATTTTATTTAATAAGGTATTATATCTGTAGGATCGGAGGCCTATCAGAATGGAAGATCTTGTATTTCCTGGGCAAGGACAAAGATGGATTATTAAAAAAAGAAACCATTAGAGCTGTTTATGATGGAAGCTTGTTTGAAAAGATGGCGGAGGAAAAGATTAATTCGTCCAAGAAGAAACACGTGTAAAACTTATACGATGGGTGTTAATAAATGTTGAACATGATAATTAAATTTGTTTTAAGATTTTTATGTTTTATATCTTTTTTCTTTGCAGTGATAAATAAAGAGAAGTAACGCGTGAAAGTGTTGTGTGATTGGATTTTACACTTGCTGATTGTATGATTGATGTCTGCAAAGTATTGTTGGGTTGAGAAGTGGATAACAACTGACAACAAAGTGTCTATGTACTATTCTTGTAGATATATATATTTTTAATTGTATTTATTATACTGTATAAAACACTACAAAACTGTTAGATTAATGTGCATATATATATGAGTATTTTAAACAACCCTTGTATCTTAGCTTTTTAGTATGTGTGTAGAGTAATCGTTAAATTATTTTATCAATGTACATGCAAATATTAAAATTGTAAGCAACACTTTGCTTTTAGATTTAATGTTGTTTTATGCGTTTCTTTTGACTAATCTGAATGTGTTTAATTATAGTGGGGTCATAATTAATATATATATATATATATATATATATATATATATATATATATATATATATATATATATATAT